AAAGGGGAACAGGTACTAGGAAAAGGTAGATCAAAAAAGAATTAACCTAGAAAGGGAACACCCACGCACAGGAAATCAATTTGAGTCAATGCCCTGTATAGCCTATCCTTATCTAAACCAGCAAAACCCTTGTTCCTTCCTATTATTGCTTATTACTCTCTCTACAACAAAATTAGAAATAAGGGCAAAATTAGTTTCTGCTGGGTATTGGTGGGGGGGAGAGGGAGGGAGCGGAGTGGGTGGTAAGGGAGGGGGTGGGGGCAGGGGGGAGAAATGAACCAAGCCTTGTATGCACATATGAATAATAAAAGAAAAATGAAAAAAAAAAAGTCTCCAATAAATTCACACATAAAGACTTCTCTCTGAAACTCCTGGGATAACATCAACCTGTAAAAATTGAACCAAGATATGGGATATTATATTAAAAATATATTATCTAACATGTGGGTTCCACATTATCTTCATGCTTAATATCGTAATGCTTCAAGATACTACATTTTCTTTGCTCTATTAAGTACTAGACTGAGTACTACAAATAAGCACATTAGAGAAATGAGTGATAGCAGACTGCTGAGCGTCTGCTTGGGTCATTTTATAAATTTTGGCATGGTAGCCAAAATTTCTGTCATCCTACACAGACTCTCCACACAAAAGTAAAACTGGCTTAATTACTTGCCCAAAGAAAACACTGGGTATCTATTCCTTTACTGAAATAGTTTTAACCTACAACATGAATACATTAAGTGCCTTTATATGTCTAATTTATCCCCTGTACCATCTCTATGAAGATTAAATAACCTTCCATACTGAGGAAGATACATGAGTAACATTCCATACTCAGTCATACTATGTCATCTAAGTACAATGGCTTTCTATTCATATGTATCTACTGAAATCCTATCCATCCTTAATAAGGAGCTCAAATTTATACCTCTGTCCACAAACTATTGTTATCAGCTTAATTTTAAATGACCTTTCCTATTGTCAAACATGACTTATGTTTTTTTCCTGGAGAGCTTGCCATGTAACTCTTGCTGGCCTTGAACTCAAATGCTAAATCCCGCTACCTCAGCATCCCAAGTACTGGGATGACAGCTATGCACCAACATGCCTGGCTATGCAATATTTCTTTTACGTAATATATCTAGCAATTATTTATGCACTATCCTATGATTTCTATTATCTTGAACTACATTTTTAAATGTCTTGAACTACATTTTTAAATGTCTTGAAAATTTACCTAACTGGATTTTTTTTTTTTAAAATGGTACCGGAATTTGAACTTAGGGCCTACACCTTGAGCCAATCCACCAGAACTTTTTTGTGAGATAGGGTCTCACAAACTGTTTTCCCTGGCTGGTTTTGAACCGCAATCCTCCTGATCCTGCCTCCTGAGTAGCTAGGATTACAGGTGTGAGCCACCTGGGCCCAGCCCAGATTTAGATGGTAATACTAGGTGTAGGTTTTGTTATTTCTCAGTTTCCAGCAGAAAACTAGGTGAAGTAAGAGAAAGCAAAAAGTACACCATTTAAATCCCTCCAAATGAAAATCATGTGCTTAAATGTCAATTATCTATTTGATGCTCTTTATTCATTTACAGACATCCACATAGAAATCTAAATGACACAAGATCATTAACATATATGTGAGTAATCAATATCAATGGGTTCATACTTATGGCTTATGAAGACTGTAATTACACAAAAACGCAAATGTAAAAGAGTAACTTAGTTATTAAATGTTATAAAGTTTTACAATTTGTCACTGTTCATTATAGCCTTGTTCTTTTAAATCCAATAAAGCACGGCTCTAAATGAAAAGTAAATAAATCTAAATAGGAAAGCCTTGTTTTTTAAGTAATACCTTCTATCTTAATACACAATATACTATTACATGTGAAAAGTATAAATGGAGGCACTTGTGAATACACTGACAAACCTCTAGTTTTATTTTCATTCCCTACTGCTGCACGTAGGATTTTCCAACATTCCCCTTATCAATAGAAATACACAGAAAAAACAGAACCAGGAAAAAATTCTCATTAGAAAATATAGGTGAAGTCTATGGCCATACCCTGAACGCACCCGATCTCGTCTGATCTCAGAAGCTAAGCAGGGTCGGGCCTGGTTAGTACATGGATGGGAGAAAATACAGGTGAAGATAGCAGATAGGAAAGCTGAAGTTGAGCGACTCAGACCAAAGGAAGAAGAGAAAATGAAAACCAGTTTAAAACAAGAATGTGACATACTAATAATGGCAAGAGTCTGAAACCCATAGCTACAATCCTGGTTCCCATCTCTGAAGAAGTACATTTAGAGAGTTCATTTCTACAATCTGCTGCCTAGCACCAGGGCAACAGAAGTATAAATGACAAAAATGGAAATTCTTGAATATATTGTAACAGGGCCTAGTATTTCCCCTAACTTTTCCCACTATTGTACTTATTGCCACATGTAATTTTCTTTCTGGTGCAGATTAAGTACCCCATATCTCAAATGCTTGGGATCAGAAGAGTTTCAGACTCTGGAATTTTTTGGATTCTGGATTTTCATGCACTCTCATGTTGGTCCTTAGAATGTTTCGGATTTCAAATTTTCAGATTAGGGATTCTCCACCTACATACCAAAAACCTTTATAGACCAGCAGTAAGCCAGGCAAGGAAAATGGAGCTAATGGAAAATAATTCTAACCCACTTGGAAGCCCAACATTCAGGCCACAGTGTATAGGTTTAGAAATGGCATGGTATGAAAATGCTTTTATTTTATTCTCAAAACATCCTTGTAATGAAAAAACTAGTTACCAAAGTTTGAGAGAGAAAACCTTGAGGCCCAGAAGAACTCTGCAAATACATATGAAATAACAAAGCAAGTCAATAGAAAAGTGAATTCAATTTTTTCTGTTAAGCTGTATTAAAATTGTCCAGCAACTCTTAGATATATGTACTTATTTATTTTTAAGAATTTTAGCATAAAAACATTAATTATCAATAAAAGTTATGAACAACACTGCATGTACACTTGCCTTCACTACAGAAAGGTCTCTTAACGCCAGAGAAATTTACTGTTTCATGAAGAGTCTTCTCCTCTTGACAGTATTCACAATATGTAACTATGCAATGCAACTTCTTATAGTCATCTGAACAAGTTTTGCTGCAGAACTGATGCACTTTGTTCTAAATATACAATAGGAACATCGGTAAGTATATGACAACCACCTCAAAAATACATTTAAGAAATATACCACTCTTACAGAGAACAAAGTTAAATTATTTATCTCTTTAATGTTATCATCCTTGGGGATATATGTCCTATAAGCAACAGATACCTAGTTTAACCAATTCACTGCTAAATATAAACACAGCTTCACAAAATTCAATACTATTAATTACTTTAAAGTTACTCCATGGAAGGATGAAAGCTTTTAATCACTAAAATAAGAGTCTGGTATTACTAACAGAATTGGAAAAATAGGATGATGGAAAATACAACACGGGTAAGATACAGAAAGATGAAACTGATGATAGTAATAAACTTTTCAATCAAACTGAAATATTCAGTGCTGAACATAGGCAAGTAGATTCAATCACACTCCTGGCACACCTTAATAGTAACAAATCTATCATGACTCATATATTCAATTTGATGCCACCACACAGTACACTACAAAACTTGAGACTGAGTTGGCTCCCTTGAATGGAACATGGTTAGTAATAATTAAGTTATTTCTCCTGGTCTCAATTCTACAAGAGCCAGAGCTACTTTTCAAATAGCCAGCCAGGTAGTTATGAGCATGTTAAAACTTCCAGGAAAGCAGCTAGTTTTTGTTATTATGGAGGATATAGATAAAGTCTAAATCACAGATCTAACGCTTATCAAGATACCTGAAGGCCAAAATAAGAAAGGTGAGAGAGTCTAGGAACCAATTCAAGTAGTTAAGACAGTCATGAGTAGAAAGGTGCCCTATTATGAACATAAAACTTACAATAGGAAAAAAACAACAAAGAAACCACAAGTGGCAAAAATGAAAAAAGAAGCAATGGGACCCTAAACTCTCAACCTTCAGAGGGATTAGACAAGCTCAACTCTCACTTAGTGTATTAATATCTCTTAACTGCTTCCAACACTTAACTTCCATGTAAATAAAAGCAACACATGAAGAGTATAAAAGTTGGGTAGCACTGACATGGACATAGCAGAAAAGACCCCATTTTCATACAGAATTATCAAAATTCTATTTTTCAGGATCTTCATTTCCTATGTGATACTATTTTATGTGCTCGTTTCTGAGTTTCTCTCCTCATTCCTTTACTTTCTTTTATTGGGACTTCAGTGTCATTTCTGCTGTTACTTGAAGAGAGTATTAATCACTAAAAACCATCACAAACACCAACAACAGTTTCAAAAGAATGTCTTGTTTAAATGCTCTGGAAACAGCACAAACAAAATAATTAAAGAATTTTCCAGGTACTAAAATAATGACATTTCAGATTTCCTTTTTTTAAACTCTTTTTATTTTTTTATTATATTATTGTACTGAGGGACAATATGTCAGTTGAATTCACCTCCTCCAACATTCATTCTCCTTTTTTCCCCTCTCCCCCACTCCTGGAATAGTTTCAACAGGTCTCATTTTTACATTTCCATTTTCCATTTTAATACTATCTTTTACCTAAGACTCAGCTAATTGGGTAACTTGCCAACCACCACTATTGAATTTTGACTCAACAGCAGTCTGTTGTTAGTTCTGTATCTTATATCCCCATATTCTTATGTACTCTATGAAAATGAAAAGAAAGAATGATCAAAGGTAAGCAGTAATGCCTGATTACTGTGCCCTCCTAAAAACAAAAGTCAACGCTCAGAGCTGCTAATGGCAAAGGAAAAATTAATAAACTAGTGAAGAAGGATAAGAAAGAAAAAATAAACATATTAAGATTCATAGGCCTCTAATTCTTTCACTTAAATATTAAAGTGACAATGTAGTACAGGACTAACTAATTTTTAGAAGTACTGTATGACACAAGATATTACAATTCACAAATAATTATAAAAACATGGGGAAAATAATCTACAGTCTCTCTAGCTATGGAAAATGACATTTTATGCTTTATTATGAACAGATACATTTTGTAAATAACTGCAATGCTTGTTCCTAAAGAGAAATAGAACCTGTTCATTTTACTCATACATGAGTAAATAAGCTAATCAGCACAAAAATCTAAAACATTTATCCACTAATAGATTTCCAGATAGAAATTCCAGTTATTTTACTGGAATTCATTCCAGTAAAATAAGATTCATTTTAGCATTAGATAATATACATAAGAAACTATGACTTACCTCCCATTCCAGGATTTCTGGTTTTGAACAAAAGGAATTTTTGCAATAGTTGCATTTCAACTGAATATCACTTGGTGCTACGAACTGGCCATTTGGAGATGACTGCATGCTTAAAGCCTAAAATAAGAACAAAATATACTGAGCCTCATATGTGTATCAGAATTTCTACTTTTAACAACTGTCAATATCTATCTCTAGAAAACAGTATGTATCTCTGTTAAATATTTTTTAGCACACAAACTACATTTCTGAACTGTCTTTAAAATATAGTATTACTCCTTAAAAAGCAAAATTTGTTTTACCAAAGTATTACTATTTACCTAAACTAAGAAAATAAAAACTATAGTTCAGCTATTTTTCCACTTGGAATAGTGAAGCTAGCTTTACTAGTAAATAAGTTAAAAAAAAAAACCTTATTGCTGTCTCCAATAATCAAGTATTTATTAATGATTTGCACCACTGAATCACTGCCATCATTTTCATTTCAAGCCCATCGTGAAAATAGCCTGTATTACTTTGAAAATTTAACCACTTCCTCTATAAAGGTGTGGGAATGAAGGGTGGAGATTTCAGATGACATTCACACCAGGAACTTATTTTAGCCTTGTTATTTTTTTAAAATAAAGTTGAAATAATTTACAGAACAAAACAGGATTTGTGAGCAAACACAGACTTTAAGGTTTTATCTAATTTTCATTCTGAGTAATGAGTACATCGGTATCTATCATACTTTTGAACAATGTCCCATTATACTATACATGACCTTGTGAATGTATAAAGGAATTAGTAAAAGTATTCAAGGTACAATGAAGGAAGAAAGAAATCTTCTTAATCACTTCTTAAACAGCTCCATATACTACAGAACATAATTGGAAGTTTGTGAAGAAAATAAAACATACAAATTGAAGACATTTACTATTAGGCGAATAAAAATTTTTAAATAAAAACATTATGAGAGTTCCAACAAAAATAAAAAAAAAAAAACTGAACCTCATTAAAGTTAACCACGCTTTCAAAACAAATGGAGTATGTGGTGGTCTGAATGTCATGTTCTCCCAAAACTCATGCTGAACTCCTAACCCCTTAAGAGGAAGAGCCTTTGGGCCACCATCCAGATCTAATTTGTACCATTGTGTTTTCAAACCTAGAGGGGAGAGGGAGATTTGTGGAAGCTGTTTTACCCCTTCTATTATGTAAAGACTTGTAAGAAGGCACCATCTATGAAGAAAGGGTCTTCACTAAACACAAACCTGCCCATTTTGAACTTCCCAAACTCCAGAACTTTAAGAAAAAACTTGTATTGCTTTTAAGTTACCCATTATAAGGCATTTTGTTACAGTAACCTAAAAAGATTAATAGTACTACCCTATTATCTTACTTTTAAAAAGAAAAACACCTCATAAAGATATAAAGCTCAAAGAATATGGCTTGCTTTAAGAGAAAGAAAAAAATGTTCTGATTCTGTTAGTAAACTTTGAATTATTCATATGTAAACAGTGATAGAGTGCCTTAAGGCTCATCTGGGTGTATTCCTCAAAATTGAGAGCCTAAATTAAGTACTTTCTTAGACTGTACAATGTACATATATACAGACTATCATCAAATCATAGCCAACACAAGATTCTATTAAATGAAAAGGGGAGTGAAGAGATTTACTATTATAAGCTAAGTGTATCCAACAACATAAAAATGGAGTAAAGATAGTTTAAGACCTGACATGTAGCATTTCAGACACTGCCCTCTCTTCAAATTAACCATTATTCTAGTTTAAGAAAAGGCAACACAGGAGAAACAATATTTACCACATTGAGATCAATGGCAGTGATCTCAACTTCTAAAATAAAAAAAGCTTAGTCCTGAGAGATTTCATCATCTGAACTCAGTAAGGACGTAACTTAATAAAAATAACATTCACTTGACTGAAACCAAACAGGCTCAATTTAAATGCTAGTAACTTCTTGTAACTACGGTAACATTTATGACTATATTTTCAGTGTAAATAAACATAGAGCACAGTACCTGGAATAAAGTAGAACTGTTGGATGAATTAACTCATGAAGCATGGCTTTATGCACTGGTTTGAACCTTTGGGCAATACCCTGAAATTTTCACACACAACAGGTAAACCTACTAGTACTACCTAACTAATGCTTGAATCCCCTCTAAACTATTCCTTCCAAGTGGTCAACCAGGATAAGTTCCAGAAACATTATCTTCTGAGATTATCCGTTATCCAACATTGAAGAACTATGCCAGAAAATTCATTACAGTTACAAAAAACAAAAAAAAAAAAAAAAAAAGCCTTCCTGAAATTCATCCCATATTAAATTAAAGCCTGCTATAAATCTAATCCCCTCTTTATATGGCTCATTCCTAATATGGAAAGCAAATATGTTTATATTTCCAGGTACAATCAACCTAGATATTTCATTCATTTATCACAGAACATAGTTCCCTCTCAGTTTTACAGATTACTCAAACCATCTTATATGAAAACATTACACATCACGGACTAAATTCAAGTACATTAAAATTTATTTTTCTTTAAGATTTGTATTATAGTAACAATTTAAAAGCCAATCATCTTAACTGTGCTGAAGCAGAGAACAGGTACAACCAGGTCTTCTGTGACCATTCTATTATCTCCACCCTCTGATTTGACCCTTAACAAACTACATAAAAATTAACAGATAAAGTTTATTTCACTGATTATTTTATATGTGTGTTTTATTGGGGGTGGGGAGATAAATAACAAACCTGAAATTTAGCCACACAATTGGAATTGCAAAAGTTATACAGTTTTCCATCAGGCATTGTGGCTTGGTACTGAGGTAAAGAGTTTCGCTTACAAAAATGGCAAATAATTCCCAAACCTAGGAGAAAAAAGGTACATATTTGATTTTGTTATAATGTAATAAAAGGTTTTTTTCCAAATCTTAGCTGATTTTTAGTTTTGAAAATGGACCTCCTATAAACTATTCTATTAGCTGTGCCTTAAATATTCAATTTTATTTCTACCATAAAAAATAGAGTGGTATTATGTCTCTAAAACATATATCAACATATCAAAACTGTTTCAGATCATTTTTGGATGGAGTAACAACTTTACCTAAGAACATAGATATGGAGAGAACGTGATTAACTTAAAAACTGAAAATTGTAGAATGGTCAAAATAATTGTAATAGATTATAGCAAAGACATTTAGCATGAGAAAAATAAATAAAAGGAACTAAAAACAAGCACTAATACAGTATTTAAGAGAGTATTATATTTGAAATGTAATTAGTTTTTAACTTTCCGAATACCTGAAACTTACTTTGCGATTTTGCATATTTTGTCTTGTGACTGTTCATGCAAGCAGTTGAACAATATGGCTCCATATATCCATTAGGACCTATACACTGAGTCATATCAAAAAACCTGCACTGTGTTCGGCAACCAGTACAAGTTGTCAGTTTTCCATATTTCTAAAATTTGAAGCATAAAAAGAAAATTTAAAAAACTACCATTTAGCTAGAAAAAAAATATCATATTTTCATCATTCTTTTTTTTTCTCTATTTGAGACATGGTCTTGCTATATATCCCAGACTAGCCTCAAACTCTTAATCTTCCTGCTTCACCCCCCGCCCCCAAGTGCTGCAATTATAGGTATGCACCACCACACCAGACTCATTATACATTTAACCCTGCAAAATAATTCTGTTAATCTCCAATTAGTTTCAGAGTCAAAACTCTTTATCTATAAGCAAACTGTAAGTTGGATGACTAATAAATTAAATCCAAATATACCGACAATCATCAGCTAATTCTCCTTCAAACATAGATAATCTTTCTCTATTTAATCTGGCTTGACAGAATCTTTACATATAAGTAAAAAATTCAAAGTCTAAAAAAGGACCAGTTCTTTTTATTACAACAGCACACTTCTTTGTCATTTCAAAGAAATTTAATGGACTTACATTGGTAAGTCTTAATAATCAAAAGTACTTTGAAGGAGAAATTCAGAAATGTTAAATACTTTTTCCATTGAGTTGCTATAGTTCCAACCAGTTTTAGAATTTCTCTTAAAAAAATTATTTACTAGCCATCTATTAAATTTAAAAAGCTAATACAGTCACAATAAAATATAAATATGGACTACAATAAAAATAGTATTTAACACTCAAAATTACTTCTTGTTATTAACTGGAATTAATATGTAATTAGCCAACCAACAGTAATAATAGCATGGGTGAATTCTCCTACCATGGGTGAATATTTACCCATAGTGAGGTAACTCAAAAGAAATCTGACAAAGAATATGAAGGTTAAGACCAAGGAGGATGCCTCAGAAAGTGCTAAGATAAAAGCAGTACACTGAAATGCATGTAGTCTTTTTAAAAAGTATAATTCTGATGAACTAGTGTATTTGTATTGAAAAATTATCTTCTTAGTCACAATTTGAAATCAACCATGAAGATGGGCAGTGGCACACACATGTAACCCCAGCACTTAGGAGACACATGAATCATGAATTCGAGGCAAGCCTGGGTTATGTATAGTGAGATCCTGCCTCAAAGAACCAAAAAGATCAAGTCTTTAAGTACTAATGGTACTGATCTCCTTTCTGAGTGACTACAGAAGTCTGTCATAACCAAGTTCAGTATCATAAATCATGGTGTAGTATAATCATATCCTTCTTTTCGTGTACTATTGAGAATACATAACCCTACCTTCAGACTCAAGAGCATCTAGTCCAATAGGGGCATATAAGAAGGCCTCAAGATGAACCATGGATAAATGAGTAACCATTATTACAGAGGATGGTGATCAGGGCGAAGTAACACATAAAACGGATAAACACCATAGAAAAACTTCACAAACACTACACAGTACAAGATTTCCAAAAATGAAGCTAATAAATTAAAAATAAAAATAATAATGATAAGTAGGGCTAAGAGTATATAATTTAGTGGTTGAGTGTTTGCCTAGCATGCATGAGGTCCTGGGTTAGATCTGCAGTACCACCAAACAAAAAAACCCACAAGTTAACATCTATCAACATTGAAAGAAAAACATGTAACTTAGCATGCAACAAGTAGAACAGGTATGTGAGAAAGCATAGCTACTTATGTGCCAGGAATATATGTTAGAATCATTCTTCTACTATAAGAAAATAGCCAGCTGGCCGCTGGTGGCTCATGCCTGTAATCCTAGTTACTCAAGAGGCAGAGATCATGGTTCTAAGCCAGCTTGGGCAAATAGTTCCATGAGACCCTATCTCAAAAAACCCTTCACAAAAATAGGGCTGGTGGAGTGGCTGAGTTCCTGTCCTAGTACCCTGAAGGTGAAGGCCTTGAGTTCATGCCCTAGTACCTCAAAAAATAAATAAGAAAGAAAATAGCTGGTAACAACTATGCCTCATTTCCTTCAGTATCATATAAAGGAGGAAAGAAGTTTTACTTTCCAGAACATTTATTTTTTTCATTTATTTTTTTGGAAGGGGGGGGGATCTGGAGTTTGAACTCAGGGTCTTGAACTTTCTAGCCAGGTTCTCTACTACTTGAGCCACACCCCTAGTGAAATCAACTCATTAAGTCTCTGATAAGCCTCAAACAGAAATACTTACAACAGCAAAGGAAACTTATCTTAATAAAAAACCATTAAGAATGCCTACAAACATATTACACCAAATGATTCTACCAATAGTTACAAGGACAACAAAAAAGAATGCTCTGGTTTTTGTTTTTTCAGACTTCACTTTTTATATGGGAAAAAGGACAAAAGAAACTGATCAATAAACAATGGGAGATTAAAATGGAACCACTATACAAATTAGGAATATAAACAGGGCTAGGGATATAGAGTTCAGGGGCACAGTGCTTCCCAAGCATGCACAAGGCCCTGAGTTCCATCTCCAGCACAAAAATGAAATACTGAAAAATATTCAGGACACCTGAATTCAGGATTAGAGAGAGAAAAATAAACCAACTCCCACTAGATAAATGTATGAGCCTTCCGTGTACAGGAGCTATAAAGAACTCTTTTCCAGTATAAATGAAGCCCAACTATCTAATCAAATCTTAGATTCAATTTTTTATTTAAAACACTCACCAAGTCCACCAAGTGATTCTTGTCACTTAATTTGTGATTCTGACACTGAGTAAGCAATTAACAACACTTTTAAGATAGCAAGTAAACAAAGAACTAAGCAACTGGCCTAGTTCTTATCTGAAAAGAACTGAAAAGGCACTGATAAAGATAAAATCATCAGTACTGAGAAGATTAAACACTCTCACTTCCATAGTTACGGTTGTTTCAAAAACCAAAAGACCCTAATGAAACATAATTAGAGGAAAAAAAAGAAATATACTTTCATGCCATGTTTTCTGGGCTTCAGATATAAATAATCATACACACATTTTATACAAATTTTCTATGGATTCTACTATATGCAGTTAGTGATTTAAAAGAACAAAATTAAGTCTAGCAATTCCAAAATTAAATTTTCCCTTCTCAGACATAGGGGAAGAGGAATCTACATTTAACTTTGGTGAAAAACAATGATATCCAGGGTTAGTGGTACACACCAATAATCCCAGCACTCAGACTGAGGCAGGAGAATCATGAGTTCAAGGGCCAGCTTGGGCTACATAGCAAAATGCACACACGCACGCATGCACGCACACACATACACACAGACACACACACACACACACACACACACACGAAGAAAAAGGAAAAGAATGAGACATAATTGATTGAAGCCAAGGTATCAACAAGGCAAAAAAATAAATAAAAAAGCAGATATAAGAAGCAATTTATGACAAATTGGGTAATTTCAAAAATGTACTATATAGTTGAATTTTAACCAATAAAATAAATTTTTGATATTCCACTTAAATATCAAAATTAACACCTCAAAATGATTTAATTTTCTTCCTAATTTTTCCTTCTATATGAAGACATGAAAGCATGTCATTTGGATTCTGACAAAGCCAGTGGACCACATGGGACAGTGCTCAAGAGTATAATGGCTGGAGGTACTTGCTGCTGTAAATCTAATCAAGAAAATGGGGCCCAAGGTATAGCCTGTACATAACATGCTTCCTACCAACATTCGAATACAACTTGAACTTAACCTGAGTCAATGACATTGAATGGAAAAAATTTATTTTATTTACTAACATCTAACTGAAATGTAAGATTCTTTCATCCTGATAGGAGCAAAAAAAAAAAACAAGCCACTTAGCATTAGTTTAGCAGGACCTGGGACTATCAAAAATGAAAATTTCCAATTTTGATATAGTGCTTGGTAGAGATACTTCAATATAATCTTTACTTCAACATTAGTTACAGCCACTGTATTTTATAAAGTGGCACACAGAACTGCATTTCAAGAACTTTTTGCTTATCCTGATAGCTTTATTTTTATACACAATGGGCTCTCTTTATAGTCAAAGAGTACATTCTGAGAATGCGTGTGTCCATATTACAAAGCACACAGCAGTGAGGAATCTGGATTAGAGAAAGTGAAGATAAAACCTCACAATGACATAAAGTTGTACTATTTTTACACTAAGTAAGATTAAGTAATAAATTCAAGTAAAAATTATAATTCATGTAGTCAGTAAAAATCCTAAGATCACCTCTTAATATTACAAGATACAAGATTGGTTTGGGCAGAGGAAACAAAAGTCTTTAGAAGAAGAAAAAGAAAAAAAAAAAAGTCCAGGCATGGTGGTACATGTCTTTAATTCCACCTATTCAGGAGGCTGAGATCAGAAGGACTACAGTTCAAGACCATCCTTGTTATTGAGCCTTCATATCAACAAAACAAGCTGGGAGTGATGGTCTACAACTATAATCTCACTCACAATGAAGGTGTAGGTAGGTGGATTGCAGATCAGGCTGGACTGGGCATAAAAACATGAGAACCTCTAAAAATTAACTAAAGCAAAAAAGGTCTGGGAGCATAGATCAAGTGTAGAGCACCTGCCTAGCACCTCATGTGTTACATCACTCCATATTGCAGTTTAGGATTTTTTTAAAAAATACATATTCTACTTGTGTAATGTTAAAAAGCATTCTAACTGTAAATGGATGCTAAAAATGATGGTGCATACCTGTAATACTTAGGAGACTGAGGCAGGAGCATACAGAGTTTGAGGACAGCATGGGAGACCATGTCTCAAAGAAATCACTCACACACACACACACACACACACACACACACACAAAGGTGGGCATAAGATTGCTTTACAGAGTTTGAGGACAGCATGGGAGACCATGTCTCAAAGAAATCACACACACACACACACACACACACACACAACAAACACAAACAAAGGTGGGCATAAGATTGCTTAACAAATATCCCTCCCCCCAAAAAAACAAACCTTAACAGACATGGCAGAAACAATAACAAAGTTCCTCAGGAGAATACTAACAGGAACACTCTTAACCAAGCAAACCAAGTCTCATACAGTAATGGACAGGCATCATGCATCTCCTGACATGATGCGCCCAAGAAGACAGAGTATCGCTTGAGATATTCATGCACAAAGTGCATTATCTCCATTCACTCCTGAGAAAATACTGAACACACAAATTGAGGGGCACACTACAAAATGGCCTGTAGTACTATTCCAAAGTATCAACAAAGAGCGGACAGAACCAAGACTTCCATCCCTAGCCAAGATGAACAAAACAGGGACTAGACTTAATTTCACACCTTTAAGAACTGAATACTCCGCAAATGATATGAAACAATGTCTTGGAAAGTTTACTCAGGAGTATATAATTTCCTAAAACATAAATAAATAATAAAAAAAGGGAAAGAAATAAAGTGAGTCCCATGGCTACCAACGCCAACTGACTGGAGGCAGTTGTAGCATGGGAAGGAGGAGAAAGAAGGTCTAGTAATTTCACTGAGCTGAGAAAAGAGATGAAGTTCTGACCAACTAGAATATGGGAGGCAGAGTAAAGAAGACAAGAGAACTGCACAAAAAAAGAAAAAAAAAAGAACTATGGCTATCTAAAGAGATGTGTTCTTAAAGAAGTCTCTGTCTGAGAACTTATCTTTGAGAAGAAACCACCTGAGAACACAGAACCAGAGAACCACATTAAAGGAGCCACCTATGGTGACCAACAGTTTTAATCCCGGCACTCCAGAGGCTAAGGCAGTGAGACTGTCTTTATTAAAAAAAAAAAAAAAAAA